TTGGCGTAGAGGGAATTCTCCAGAAGACGATGAAGGACTTGCTGGACATGGCGGGTGTGTTCAGACAGGTTTCTGGAGTAGATTAAGATGTCATCCAGGTAAACGAAGACAAACTTGTTTAACATGTCCCGCAGTACATCATTCACTAGAGCCTGGAACACAGCAGGAGCATTGGTGAGGCCAAAAGGCATAACCAGATACTCGTAGTGGCCTGTTGGTGTATTGAATGCGGTTTTCCATTCATCTCCCTCCCGGATCCGCACTAGGTGGTAAGCGTTTCTGAGATCCAACTTGGTAAAAACAGTGGCTCCCTGGAGCAACTCAAAAGCAGAGGTGAGCAGAGGCAGAGGGTAACGGTTCTTCACTGTGATGTCGTTGAGTCCCCTGTAGTCGATGCAGGGGCGAAGAGATCCGTCCTTCTTCCCCACAAAGAAGAAACCAGCACCAGCAGGAGATGAAGATGAACGGATTAATCCTGCGGACAGAGAGCCATTGATGTAGTCCTCCATGGACTTTCTTTCAGGAGCAGACAACGAATAAAGACGACCCTTTGGAGGGGCTGTTCCAGGGAGGAGGTCGATGGCACAGTCGTACGGTCGGTGAGGGGGCAGAGATGTGGCTCTTGCTTTGTTAAACACCTCTCTGAGACCATGGTAGCATTCTGGGACATTGGAGAGGTCAGGAGCGGAGTTAGTAGGTACTGGCCGAGGGGGGTAGTGCGGCAGCAAGCAGGCAGGTTCGGTGGCAGTCCTCTCCCCACTCCCTGATCACCCCGGTCACCCAGTCGAGCTGAGGGTTGTGCCGGCGGAGCCATGGGTAACCCAGGATGAGGGGTTGGCCTGGAGAGGGGAGCAGGTGAAACTGGATAGTTTCTTGATGGTTTCCGGACAGACCCATCGAGACCGGGGCCGTGACATGAGTGACCGATCCGAGTAAGTGTCCGTCCAGTGCCCGGGCAGGAATAGGAGGTGTCAAACGGAGGTTCTCCAGTCCCAGTTGGCGTGCCAGCTTGATGTCCATTATGTTGGCTTCGGCGCCAGAATCCACCAGAGCAGCCAGGGTGTGAGTTGAGTCAGAGAGGCGGAGGTGAACTTGCAGCAGGGGTTTGCGGTCGGAGGACTGGATGGTCATTGAACTCAACCGGACTCCCCCTATGCCCGGTGAGCTTCGGCCCTTTAAAGGGCAGGTTACCACACGATGTCCATCACCTCCACAATAGAGGCAGAGGTTTGAGGTGAAGCGTCGCTGGCGCTCTGCAGGAGTGAGAGAGGCTCGCCCAATCTCCATAGGCTCAGACTGATCAAGCTGACCTGGGTGAGTGGCAGTAGATGACAGGAGCCCAGTCGGATCTCTCCGAATGCCGGTAGTAGGTGGACCTTGGCGCCCCCTCTCACGACGACGGGTCTGTATCCTTCTGTCGATCCTGACAGTCAGTGCGATGGCTTCATCAAGAGTGGAAGGCAGTTCATGGGAGACCAACTCGTCCTTGATATAGTCAGCCAAACTATGGAAGAACGCGTCCACCAACGATGGTGTGTTCCAAGAACTTCGTCTAGCCAGGGTTCGGAAGTCGATGGAATGGTCTGCGACTGTACGTCTGCCTTGTCGAATACTGAACAGTTCACGAGACGCCTCTGCGGTTGGTGAATCCAGGTCAAACACCTTCAGCATCTCCTCAGCAAACAGGTCGAAGGTTGCACATGCGGGGGTTTGACGTTCGAACTCTGCTGTTCCCCAGAGTCGAGCTCGGCCCGTCAGGTGAGTGATGGCATACCCAACTTTAGCCCCCTCCGTGGCGAAGGTCCTTGGCTGCAAGGAGAACTGAAGTCGGCAGCTAGTCAGGAATGGCCGGACCTGGGTTGAATCGCCGTTGAACCGCTCGGGGTTTCCAATCTTGGGTTCCGGAGCAGCGGCTGCAATGACCGGGGCAGGTAACTCGGGGGCAGGGCTGGTGGGCAGACTGGCTGGGGTCAGGTTGGTGAGGAGTTGAATGATCATGGCGAGTTGTTGTTGCTGCTGCTGGAACTGCTGCTCATGCTCATCGGTTTCCATGTCGGGGAAAGTGTGCGCTGAGTCCATAATGGTCAGATCGTACTGTCACGGTTCAGACAGACGACCAGAGGACCACAATTGCGTCACACCAGAAAGTTTATTAAACTTAAGGGAAAAGGGAAGTAGGGAGTGAATGAAGGCTCCAGGGGTAACAGGGATCCCGTCCAATGTGCTGGGTCTGTGCCCCCCCCAGTGGCAGCGATGCGTCCTATGAAGCCGGTGGTGGGTGGTCCAGAAGTCCTGGGGGGGGGGAGACACAGACACAACAGGGCGGAATGAAACAAGGCAGCAGTACAGTTCAAGGGAAATCCAAAATACGTAGTAGCAAGGCAGAAGGCTGGTCAGAGTTACCGGGATTGAAGAGTAGTCAGGAGTCGTAATGGCAGAAGCAGGTCTGGATCTCCTGGGGCAGACGAGTATCCAAAAATCAGGCAGGTCCGGGGTCACAAAACCAGAGTGAGCCAGAAGCGCGAGCAAACAGGTTCCGGGTGTGAGCTTTGCAGACGATCTGACACCGGAGAGCTGAAAGACAGGGCCTTAAATACTGGGAGAGGTAGTGGGTAATGCAGCGCAGCTGGCAGAGTAATTAGAGCAGAGCAGAGCAGGGACAGGTGGAGCTAGTTAGGCTGAGTAGAGAGAGTGGTGAGCAGAGTGGAAGAAAATAAGGTGGTAACCCGGTGGAGTGAGAGGCTCATGACACACTGGGGCCGAGCTCCCTGCCATCCAGGCCTTATATACAAGGTGGTGTCAAAGGAAGGCCGTAAAAATTGTCAAAGACTACAGCCTCCAAAGTCTTAGACTGTTCTCTCTGCTACCGCACGGCAAGCAGTACCGATGCATCAAGTCTGGAACCAACAGGACCCTGAACAGCTTCTACCCCCAAGCCATTAGACTACTAAATAGTTAACCAAATAGCTACCCAGACTATCTGCATTGACCCTTTTTGCACTAACTTTGACTCATCACATACGCTGCTGCTACTGTTTACTATCCGTCACTTTATTCCTAGTTACATATCTACCTCAATTATCTCATACCCCTGCACATCGACTAGGCACACTACATGACCAAAAGTATGTGGACAACTGCTCATCAAACATCTCATTCCAAAATCATGGGCATTAATATGGAGTTGGTCCCCCCTTTGCTGCTATAACAGCTGCCACTCTTCTGGGAAGGCTTTCTCCTGGATGTTGGAACATTGCTGCGGGGACTTGTGGCTTCCATTCAGCCACAAGCGCATTAGTGAGGTCAGGCACTGATGTTGGGCGATTAGGCCTGGCTCGCAGTCGGCGTTCCAATTCATCCCAAAAGTGTTTGATAGGGTTGAGGTCAGGGCTCTGTGCAGGCTAGTCAAGTTCTTCCACAGCGATCTCGACAAACCATTTCTGTATGGACTTCGCTTTGTGCACGGGGGCATTGTCATGCTGAAACAGGAAAGGTCCTTCACCTAACTGTCTAGAATGTCATTGTATGCTGTAGCGTTAAGATTTCTCTTCACTGGAACTAAGGGGCCTAGCTCGAACCATGAAAACAGCCCTAGACCATTAACCCTCCTCCACCAGCAATCTTTACAGTTGGCACTATGCATTGGGGCAGGTAGCGTTCTCCTGGCATCCGCTAAACCCAGATTAGTCCGTCGGACTGCCAGATGGTGAAACGTGATTCATCACTCCAGAGAACGCGTTTCCACTGCTCCAGAGTCCAATGGCGGCGAGCTTTACACCCCTGCAGCCGACACTTGGCATTGCGCATGGTGATCTTAAGCTTGTGTGCGGCTGACCCATTTCATGAAGCTCCCGACGAACAGTTCTTGTGCTGACGTTGCTTCCAGAGGCAGTTTGGAACTCGGTAGTGAGTGTTGCAGCCGAGGACAGACGATTTTTACACGCTACGTGCTTCAGCACTCGGCGGTCCCGTTCTGTGAGCTTGTGTGGCCTACCACTTCGCGGCTGAGCCGTTGTTGCTCCTAGATATTTCCGCTTCCCAATAACAGCACTTACAGTTGACCGGGGCAGCTCTAGCAGGGCATAAATTTGACTGACTTGTTGGAAAGGTGGCGTCCTATGACGGTGCCACATTGAAAGTCACTGAGCTCTTCAGTGAGGCCATTATACTGTCAATTTTGTCTATGGAGATTGCATGGCTGTGTGCTCGATTTTATACATCTGTCAGCAACGGATGTTGCTGAAATAGCCGAATCCACTAATTTGAAGGTGGTGTCCACAAACTTTTGTATATATAGTGTATATAGCCACGTTATTGTTACTCATTGTGTATCTATTATTACTTTTATTATTAAGTGTTTTACTTTCTATTATTTCTCCATTTTCTTTCTCTGCATTGTTGGGGAGGGCCTGTAAGTAAGCATTTCACTGTTAGTCCACACCTGTTGTTTACGAAGCATGTGATTAATAAAATGTGATTGAAAATGTGATTTGACATGAGTTTTCACATATGGAAATGTTAAGTGCACATTTGGACTCACGGGTATGTGGTTTACTTTTATGACATCAAAGAGGTATTCATTATAATCCTCAACGACTCATCTTTCAGAACACAGACAACAACAAATGTGCAAAAGTAGCCCCATTAGCAGGAGGGATGGTGGTGCTCTAGTTTATAACGGCTGTCAGTCAAAACCCGTACAGCACTAAGTGGAGAACCTGAGCTCTGACGTCATGTATAGCATATTACTGTACAGCCTTTGCGTTCCAAGTTAGGCGCTTATCAATGACAAAATCTGCCATTTTCAACCCATATACGGGATGACAGGATTTGTGAGTGTTGGGCTACTACCTAGTGACGACCTGGGCTCCATTTTTGTTTCCTTGTGTGGGTGAGGAGACATGAGGTGAGGAAAAGTTTTCCTGTTTTGCTTTCATCATCATTTGATCCAGACAGGTATTGTACTGTAAAAAAAAAAAATCCCAGATCCTCTACTAACCTGTGGACTTGTACAGCATGCCTGTCATGGTCCCGGCAGCAACAGTGTTGATGTCATCCTCTGCTCCTTGGGTCTTCTCGATGGCCACCCAAAACACACTCCACAGAGCTGAGGACACACAAGCATACAGGTGAATTAATGTCACATTGTCTCAATAGAAACAACAATATACCAATGTGTTGCACTGCTGAAATTACATCTGCGTCAATCCACCGGTGGGGAATGACGGGCACTCACCCACGTGTGTTCGCCCATGTCGCTCCTTGGCGGGTCACCAAATTCAGGATCCTAAAACAGAGGGCAAGTGAGGAAGGATATAATATCCATTAAACACAGACATCTACAGTGTAAACACAAAGACTCCCCCAACTTCAATGTGATACAAGGGTTGATTTACAGTTAGGGGTTCTAGAAAAAGTGCTGCATATTTGAAAAACTGATACATGCCTGCTGCATCGCCAGACAAGACTTGCTTCAGTTTATATGGAAATCCTTTATCAAAACTGCTATCCTTGAGTGGATGAGATCATCAGGCCAAGTGTGAACAGCCTGTCAGATCATAATGTAATTTGGCTGCTGTACCTTCATGATTTATCTGATTCAGCTTTAGACATTCACTAACAGTAAGATAGACAGACAGTGGCATGTTGTGCAGTGCTATCTTCTAACAGTGATCAGCTGAAAAATAATGACCCTGGTCAAACCAATATTCCAACTGTAGCCAGCATTACACAGTGAACACAATGTACCCGTGGCCAAGGCAGACTTTGCCCTCCTCCTCCCTTGGCAGGGACAGCTAGGTTTTTGGGCCTTGACAGCACCCTTGACATCCTCAGCTGTGTTACAGCACTGAGAAGTCAGGCATGTCAACACAGGTGTGTTCGAGTACAGGGTCATTCAATGGCAATGGGTGAGCGTGACAAAATCTCAGTGAAAGCAACAGTGTAGTAGGGGTTTACAACACAACCACACCATATAGGCCTACTATATCTAGTTTCCATGGAACCATGTGTTATTACTGATACTGATTGGGGAAAACGATGTACTGCATATCAGCATTATAAGTTCAGCTAAAAGGTTTGGTGAGAATCAATTTCAGCTAATTTAAATGTGTATAATTCAGTGCTTCTCCCACTCTCTCTAGCAGTGGTCTGATCCTATCAGTAGTTTACATTTGGATCAGAGTGAGATCCTCACTATGACTTAATCATGGATTAATGTCATACCATGTCAAGTCAGATTCACAGGAGGTTGGTGGAACCTTAATTGGGGAGGACAGGCCCAATTAATGGCTGGAGAGGAATTAGTGGAATGGTATCAAATACATCAAAAATATGGTTTCCATGTGTTTGATGCCATTCCATTTGCGCCGTTCCAGACAGTATTATGAGCCGTCCTCCCCTCAGCAGCCTCCTGTGGTCAGATTATGTATGCAGATGATTTAGCTTTTCTTTTTTGTGTGGCGCAAAGTATACTTTGATTAGATTTAAGTCCCAAATCATGACCTCATATCTGTAATGGCAAGACAAGACTAACCTTTCAGGTGGTTATCCTTTTGGAGTTATTACTGAATCAATAAAGATTGCAGATTGCTCAAGCAACCTATAAGAAGATTGAGTTGGGCCAAAATCCTGACTGCTGCTTAAACATTATTACCCATATAGATACATTTAAATATATTTAGAAAGTTCAAATGGAACCCTTGAAATCATTGTACCACCCCAATCATAATGGAGGGCATGACAAATTGGAGACTTATCAACTAGCCAACTGAAATATTTTGACTCACACTGAACAAATGGGTAAAGACTGTCCTCTGCTGGTTGATACCTGAATGAGTAATTAAATTCTACTGAAAAAGGGATTGAGATTAATATAACTCAATCTGCTTTGTGTCTCAAAACCAAAAATAATTTATGAAGGAGATCCAACTTAATCACAGCCTCCAAAATACCATTACTTTGTGAAAAGCTGGTTGGTTTAGACAAAGCCATGTTTTTGGTCTCTGACAGTCCCATGTGGAGCCCGTTGAGAGCTCCAAACGCAGCACCTGAGAAGCAAAACAATCAACTTGTTTTACACAATTATATTTTACATTTCATACAGGCTTCAAGAGCGAGAGTAAGTGACAAAACAAGATGTCACATGTAATACAACAGCCTCCGATGGTGAAAAAAAGTTCAAATCGGCCTCTGGTTTTGTTGGCACCAGACGGTAAAATGAAATCACCAGGGTCCTGTTGGAATATTAGAAGTAATTGTTGTATTTTATACAACGGGTGTCTAATCCTGAATACTGATTGGTTAAAAGCGCATCGCAACCGGTGTCTATTCCACAAATTACCACCCGCTAAATCTATGAAATTAAAATGCTTATTTACTCTGTTCCATCTGACTGCGCAATCCACTGTCTCATCAACCCAGCCAGGCAAATTATACATTTGATCTCCACTATAAAAAGCATCTAGACAATTTCTCACATTTCTTTTAGAATAACACTTAGTTTTCAACAGCGTGCTGTCTGTCTCTCCGACATTTGTAACATTGTTTAAATATTCAAATTCGATCTCCAGCTGTCAGATGGTCATGAACGTGTAGTGGTCGGGAGACAGACAGGCAGACAGCGTTTCTCAGCCAGTCGAAATCATGAATCTGCTGGCATCATTTTAATGGATATATATAAAGAAATGTCAATTGAAAAGGGTCAAACGAAACAAAGTATAGATATTTTGCAGTCTTTACAGCTTCAGTGTTTGAAGTGATTGTGTTAGCTGGGTTGTTGGCTAGCTCCTCTGAACAACAGTGTCCTGACGAGAGAGCACATTTTCTATGCCAAGTCGAAATCGCGCCTCATTAGCTCATTGTTATGGATGTATCCAAATAAATGTCATTAGAAAACAGCTTAAACAAATGCAGCTACTGTTGTTATTCTTTTTGACGTGGCTGTAAATTAGCCGTAGTTGGCTAGCTAGCTAGCAAGCAAGGGATAAGAACGTTGCCAGCCTGTATGGCAATGGAACATTTAGAACAGGGGTGTCAAACGTACGGCCCGCGGGCCGGATCAGGCCCGCAAACGGGTTTAATCCGGCCCGCGAGATGATTTTGAAAAAAATAATAATAATAATAATAATTTAAGTATAAAAATGCGCTGCAATTTTTCAATAAAATAAACTGCTGTTCCAATTGCGTCCACTGGATGGCGCAATAGCAATTTTGTTAAGCAAGCAAACTGTTTATACCGGGGCAGAGCAAGTAGGTCAAGCACATGCAGCCAATGAGCTACTTTGTTTTGCCCGCGATATTTATTACGGCTTCTACTTTTAACATTATGTGCTTTGGCACCCTCATTGCCCCAATATGTCTCTGTCAAAAAAGAGAAAAGTGGACGCAGAGTGCAGAGTGTACCAAGAAAAATGGTCATCCTATTTAATCACGGAATTGAATGGGAAAGCTGTATGTTTGGTGTGTTCAGAGCATGTTGCAGTGCTGAAAGAATATAACCTTCGTCGCCACTATGTGAGTCTTAATGCCGACAAATATGACAACTTTCAAGGACAGCGGAGATGAGAGAAGGTGAATGAACTGTTGGCGGGTCTGAAGAAACAGCAGTCTGTGTTTACTCACAGCCGAGACATCAGTGACGCTGCAGTGAAAGCTAGCTACCCCATTGCTAATGAAATCGCAGTGGCTTCAAAACCATTTAGTGAGGGTGAATTTGTAAAAATATGCATGATGAAGGCAGCGGAGATTGTGTGCCCTGAAAAGCGGCAGGCTTTTGCAAATATCAGCCTGACAAGAAACACAGTTGCAGACAGGATTTCCGATCTTTCAGTGGATTTGGACAGCCAGTTGAAGCAAAAAGTAAAGTCATTTATTGCGTTTTCGGTTGCAATTGATGAAAGCACGGACATTACAGATGTTGCACAACTGGCCATTTTTTCATCCGCGGAGTTGATGACACATTGACCGTCACCGAGGAGTTCGTGGAGTTGGTGCCGATGACAGATACAACGACAGCAGCTGATATTTTTACCGCACTCGTCGGCACGCTGGACAGGGTCGGAGTGGACGGGTCCCGCGCTGTCAGCCTGGCTACAGATGGTGCGCCCTCAATGATCGGGAAAAAAGCAGGCGTTGTGACAAAGTTCAGAGAGAAAGTGCAATCTGCAAATGGAGGACGTGATTTTTTGACTTTTCACTGTATTTTGCACCAGGAGGCTTTGTGTTGCAAGTCATTAAAGATGGATAACGTCATGAAGGTGGTCATCCAAACTGTTAATTTCATCCGATCCAGAAGCCTGAATCACCGTCAGTTTGACAGCCTTCTCAGAGAGAAAGACCACATCTATGGCCTGCCATACCACACTGAGGTAAGATGGTTAAGCCGAGGTGCTGTGCTGAGGCGTTTCTTTGATTTACGAGAAGAAATTGAACAGTTCATGGAAGAAAAGGGCAAACCAGTGTTAGAATTTCATTCCGCAGAATGGATGCCGGACCTTGCATTTATGGTGGATGTTACAGAGCACCTGAATAACTTGAACAAACAGCTGCAAGGGCGCAACAAAGTTGTCACGCAGTATTATGACAGCATACGTTCTTTCAAGTTGAAGCTGTCATTGTGGGAGACGCAACTTGCCGGTGGTGATGCAGCTCACTTCCCCTGTCTGAAAAATGTGTGCGCGACCCAACATGTGGCAGACATGAAGCGGTTCAAAGATAAAATAACTGGACTGTTACGGGAGTTTGAGCAACGCTTTCAGATTTATGTTTATATGTTTTTATGTTGATGTGCTATTGTTTTTAATTGATTTTATTTTATTTGTATATTTAACCTATTCTTGACTCTGTGGTTCTTGCACTTGTTTGGGGAACAGGATTTCATTATTTTTATCTACATTTCTGCCTGAGAAATGACACCCTGATATAGTTCTGTGATCTGTGATATACTTCTGTGAATCACTGAGGCATTGTGTGTTTGTGTGTTCTTTGTCCTCAGAACTTTCAAATAACTTGAGGTGTTTTATGATTAATAGTGATGTTGTGCTTTTGGACACTGTCCTCAGGCTCCAGCTTTATGTTTATATGTGTTTATGTTGATGTGCTATTGTTTTTAATTGATTTGATTTGATTTGTATATTTAACCTATTCTTGACTCTGTGGTTCTTGCACTTGTTTGGGGAACAGGATTTCATTATTTTTATCTACATTTCTGCCTGAGAAATGACACCCTGATATAGTTCTGTGATCTGTGATATACTTCTGTGAATCACTGAGGCATTGTGTGTTTGTGTGTTCTTTGTCCTCAGAACTTTCAAATAACTTGAGGTGTTTTATGATTAATAGTGATGTTGTGCTTTTGGACACTGTCCTCAGGCTCCAGCTTTATGTTTATATGTTTTTATGTTGATGTGCTATTGTTTTTAATTGATTTTATTTTATTTGTATATTTAACCTATTCTTGACTCGGTGGTTCTTGCACTTGTTTGGGGAACAGGATTTCATTATTTTTATCTACATTTCTGCCTGAGAAATGACACCCTGATATAGTTCTGTGATCTGTGAAACAGTTCTGTTAATCACTGAGGCATTGTGTGTTTGTGTGTTCTTTTTCTTTAGAATTTTCAAATAAACTTCACGTGTTTTATGATTAATAGTGATGTTGTGCTTGTACTATTTTGGACACACTGTCCTCAGGCTCCAGCTTTATGTTGTATGTTGATCGTATTAAAACAAAGAAAACAATCTGAAGTTGTTGTTTTTAAGTTATATATACCATGATTTTTCCGGTCCGGCCCACTTGGGAATAGATTTTCCTCCATGTGGCCCCTGAGCTAAAATGAGTTTGACACCCCTGATTTAGAACGAACGACTGGGTCGCGTCCATAGATACAGAACAAAAAGACTGAACGACTGGGTCGCGTCTCTGGTAACCGAACCAATAGAACGAACTACCAGCCGGCTTGGATAGCAACCTATATTTGTGTCGGGACTATATCATGTGGAAGGATGAAATAGTATGACTAAATTAATCAAATTAACGTTGAATTAAAATATGTCAATCATTATTTGAATAGGTTGGTAACCCCGTTGTATAAAAGTGATAATGCCCTCGAAGCCGGTGTTTGGAGGATATATTGGCACGTTAATCCGGCCAACACCGGTGCCAATATAGCCTCCAAACAACGGCTTATCGGACATTATCCCTTAAGTACATCCAGGTCATGAATCTGGCAGATTCCCAACTTGTGAACCAAAGTCAATCATTTTATACTAACTAGAACTCACATGTGTAAGATATCTTGGATCCAAATATATTGGATCCACATACCAGTTACTGCCTGAGGAGAGAAAAAAACAATTCAGATTGAATTGCATAATTTGTCCATATCAGGTTGACAAACAATTTACATGGGGCACCGGCGAGTTCAGTGTTTGAATATTCTGGCGATGCTCCACCAAATATGCTAAAACCACCTTTACTGGATCCACTTGGTGACCAGGAACATCAACAGGTGGATCCAGTATGGGTGGTTGTAGCTGAAACCACCCTTACTGGATCCACCTGATGGTGGAACATTGCCTGAATATTCAAACAGTGAACTTGCAGGACCCCGGCGTCCCATGTAAGTCGTTTGTCAACCTGATATGGACAAATTATGCTATTCAAACTGAGCTATGTGTTGTGGTCATGAGCATCAGCTGACTATTGTCCATGTTTTCTAAACGGATCTGTGTGAGACGGTCTTCCTTCCTTGCTCAGCTCGCTAGCTACTTTAACTTGACTTTTAAGGAATTATTAGCGCAACTACTGTAGCGAGGTAAAGGTAGCTTGCAATTGATGACTAGCCTACAAACCAGCGATTCTGGAGAGCATTTAAAACCAAGGCTGTTTGTTAGCTAGCACTACCTCGTCTTGTTTCTGGCTATTTTAACGTTGAAGTTAGCTAGCTTCTATCTGAGTAGCACTGAATATTTAGCTAGCTAGCTTCTTTGACATTATTCCGTGTACTACTAGTTTCTCTCTGACCCAGTCAGAAATAATAGTTACATGTCGTTAGAGTGACAGCTAGCTAGTAACAGACTTGTTGTTGACGTCCACTACATGACACATCATCACTCAAAAAGCCGTAAAGCCAAGAACGACGTCCTTTGTTGGGATCGACAATTAATCTGGTATTAGGTGGTTAGAAATGGAAAGGGTGGATGTAATTACTCTTTCATTTAACATTTACATTTGATCTTTCCACGTAATGGACAGAAGACAAATAATTCGACAGTTTAAATAAACGGTTTACTACAGTTTTTACGACACCCTGTGCTTGGTAGCTATGTCCTGTCCAATGATTGGTCCTCTCTGGTGCATTGCCCAATGAAATTCGAGATATGCATGCTGCGCAGGAGCGGTATAGCTCATGGATTTTAAATGCATGTGGCTAGCCAGCTAGCCACACGCTGTCCTTCAACGCGTTAAGACAATCCACAGTATTTAAAATCAGTGATGATACGCAGCCATTGCCAAGGCTTGACATTCATGAGGACGCTGGTTGTGATCTGACAGAGGTGCGGCAAAATCGACTCATTTCGTCGAGGGTCAAGACAACGAATCTGAAAGGATAAAAGCCCGGTAAATACTCATCTCGAGGTCATTAAGCTTACTCCATCGCTTAATTCGGTATAGCTAATTGTTCATACGTCAAATTTGGCTACATAACCTGCCTTATAATCACAACACCGACAATACAATAACGTTTTGGTTATTTATGCCAAATAGCCAGTTTGCCATATCTATTGAGCATATTATGCCGGGTGATGTGCTCAACCACGGTTTGTTGGTAATTCCTGTCAAAAAATGTCCATCGTAATGAGGAGACTTCTGATGACAGAGAATCTGCTGTGGAAAATCGTATGAAGCCAGCCCTGGAGCGTTGGCTCTCGTTTTATGCCCTCTCCTCAAGCTGCATGTGTCATCGATGCAGGATTTGACCCTGTCAACCCGCCAATATGATTTACATGATCAGTGACTGTAGACATGTACATTGTTTAATGTATTATGCATTCTATGATCAGTACTATGCAGCTTGGTCGATAAAGAAAGATTTGTCTGAGAAAATCAATTGAATAATGCATGATTACGAGAAAAAAAATCCATGGTTTATGCTCAGCGCTATTTTTATGGCGGGCAGAATGAATTCGTTTTAGCCAGAGCCTTCTGAGCTAACCATAGAGAATTAATAAAACATACATTGTACTAGCTAATATCTTTGGTCGATGTAACTACCGTCTTCCATTGTAGTTTTTGGATGTCATTTTGGGATTTGTGAGCGTATTAGGCACAAGACATACATCTGTCTCTCTGTTGTAGGGCAGCCTTTTAGTTACAGCCCATTTAATCCCCTCCCATAATGCATTGTGCTCATCCCAGTCCCTACTGTAGTTCCTGTTTATTGTTGCTGCTTTGTCTGGTAATTTTCTGTCATCCTCAAATGTAGTGTATTTACTAACAGTTTCTAATTACTAATAATTTGTGGTGTTTTGCTCAAGCTCATACAAACGTTTAACGTAGCACCACACCTACTGAAGCAATGTCGTTTTTGTTTCATTTTCTTCAGTCAACGTAATGCAATGCACTTCCTCGGTTAATTTGCACACAATTAAACTCCACGTTTCGATAGTGAAAGTACAAGTATGTCAATGTTTTTACCTGTGATTTTCAAAGGTGCATTTTTATGTGTAATATTATTGGATGTGGTGTTCATTTGTTATGATGACAAAAAGCAGTTGTGACTTTTTTTCTCTCTCTTTTAGGAGTGGTGGAGTCTTATTGTACCATTGACCCTGTGATTACAACAAGACCAAAAGTTACACACATTGACGTTTAGGGTCTGCTCAAATGGAGGACTCAGAGACTGACTTGACTTCGTCTGAACAGGACGCACTTGGGGCAGACTTCATCACGGTGGAACTGGACACCCAGCCCATAGAATATGTTGTCAAGTGGGCTGAGGTCGGGTCCAAGTTCACAATATCCTGTGTGAAAAAGGAGGCGGACGAGGGGTCTGGCCTAAATCTGGAGCATGTGAAGGCAGAGCCAGATGAGCCCTTCTTTGCCCAATATGAAGAGGAGTTCCCTGGCTGTGAGATAGCAGAACAGAGTGTTGTAGTAAAGACGGACGACTCGGATGAGGATGACCACACTGAGCCAGGGAGTAGCCAGCTGGTCCCTGTTGGAGATGGCTCTGATTCGGGCTCAGAGAAAGGGGAATATATCTCACCAGGGGGATACTACAGCTGCAACTACTGTGGGAAGTGCTACAGTCATTCCTCGAGCCTCTCAAGACACCAGCAATTGCATACGGGAAAGGCACCCCCACCCCCAAACAAGCAAACCGATATAGGGTCAGGTGAGGGGAACAAATACAAATGCACGCAGTGTGCAATGCGATTCAAAAGCAGAAGAGCTCTCGGAACTCACCTGAGAACACATCGGGGAATGCGAGTTTACCCATGCAACATCTGTGGGAAGGATTTTAACCACAGCTCCAGCTTGTCGCGTCATAGGCTCATCCACAAAAAAGGGAAGGGTATTCCCTCTGGTGTCATACCTGCTGAAATAAATTATGTCCGCCGCCCACCTGGCAGCAGGAAAAAGAAGAAGCAGGCTGGTGAGAAGAAGATCCCTGGCGACAAGAAGTTCCCTACTGAGAAGAAGTTCCCTATCGGGAAGAACCTCCCTGGAGAGAAATTCTACGCATGTACACAATGTGATATGACCTTCAAGAACTCCATTGGCCTCTCGAAACACCAGGTCTCTCATGTAAAGGACCTGCTGAATAACTATGCCCAGGGTAAAGACAGTCTCACCAAGTCCTCAGACTTGAAAATACGCCTCAAGTTGTGCTCGAGGGACAAACCCAACTTTTACACCCTCTGTAAGAAGAACAAGCGGTCAAGAGCTGCCAAGCGCCAGCGCCAAGCATCAGTCTCTGAGGAAGAGGAAGGACCATATGCATGCGAGCAGTGTGACAAGCGCTTCAGCCAAGTGCAGAGCCTCGTCAGGCACCAGCAAATGCACAAAGGAGACAAGTTCAGCTGCTCTTACTGTAAAAAGACCTTCACCAGGTTGTCCAACCTCCACCACCATGAGAGATCTCACTCCACACGGGGGAATTACGAATGCACCACCTGCAGCAAGACATTTGTGCACTCGTCCAGCTACTCCAGGCACAAGCGGCAGCACGCAGAGGAGGAGGAGGAGGCCCGCCAGCAGAAGGGCATAGATGAGATGGAGCCACTTGATTCAGACTCTGAGTGAGCGCAGTCGTGGTCTGCTCTTGACTGCCCACACACAGCTGACAAAACTCTGGGTTTCAGGGGTTGGGAGTTTTTGGGGGATTTTGTTTGGGACTGGAATTGGCATTACTCAGAGTATATAAAGTGTGTAATGACTTATGGTTGTATGGTATCAGCAAATTGGATCTTGGGATGGGGTTAGGAATTTGGGTTCATTTTGAGTGTGAGATTTCCCCCCCCACACGCACACACATTTTCCCTAAATTGCACTGACAATGTTGTCGTCTGCTGGTCATGCAAAACATATTTAGATTTATTTTGTTCAAATTCCCTTTTGGTCATGGTTAGGGTAAAAGTGTTGCTAGAGTCTCGCCAGCTGTGAACTATACTGTACCATCTGTGTACTATATCAGGCGTGTCAGGATATCACCCTTACCACACACACATCATCAGAAAACTGCTAAAAAATGCTTCTGATATCGAGTATACCCCTTTTTCTGTATATCATATTTTTTGGTGAGATGTGACAAAGGGTCAAAATGGAAAACCTTGCCGTCAAACTAAATCCGGATTTGACCTCCAGCGGATTAATCTAATGTCTGCACTACACCACATACAGTCGCTGGTTCAATCAAACTTCTATGGTTTAGCCTCAGCTTTTTATCTGTTCAGTTCATGCAAGTAATCTCTGATGCTGAAAAAACAACAATCAAAGCAATGAAGTACTTTATGAGAAAAAAACGAAGGAAGGTTGATTGAATCCAGGCATCACCAGTAAATGTGCTAATATTAATCCTTCAATCAGAAAACTGCATTATTTCCCGTCCCCTACTCAACATCACTTGTTTAATAATCTTAATGACAACACAGTGGTGAAATGAAAAAAACAAGATATTTATTTCTACATATTTGGGATAATTGATTTGTTGCATCTTTTTTTGAAAACTGCTAGCATTGAGTGATCAAACAAGTTTTTATTTAGATTTATTCTACTACACAGTGTTCAGATGAACGTTCAGATTGTTGATTTAAGGATTTTTATCAAAATATGAAGTCCAATCAGATCCTTAGAATTTGAAAATACTATATTTGATATTTGTCAACATATACTGCAATTCCACAATGTATACAATTGTGACTCCATATATATGTATGCATGATGAATATAACTTGAGAATAGTTTACAATATATGTCGTTTTTACATCTGCTGTTCCTGTGTGTAAAACATTGCATTTGTGAAAGTGAGAATAATTGAGATATTTAATAATATGTGCAGTGTATTTTGACAAATACCCTCAAATATTCCTGGGATTAGGGATTTAATATTTTGTACAAGTATTTGTTTATTGAGGTTGTAGGGGAAACTGCACTACTTATTTATGAATTGGGAACAAATGTGCAATTTAAATGGTAGTGAATGTGATTCACAACAATGACCATTGTTGAAAACACATTTTAGGTGGCAACACCTTACCCATTTGTCCCCAAAGTTCCACCTTTTCAGGTGTACCTTTTGAAATCTATTACCATTCACAGAAATATTATTAGTGCTGTCAAATACTTACTGTATATCTCCATAATGCTTGTATACGTGCATAGCCAGATGGATTTTATTTTCCAGTTAAACTGTTCAATTATCTGTTGAAAGTGCTTAACTAGTCTCCTGTTAAATGTTTGTATTTGCTTTAAGCACAACCAGGGTACTCTGAACAATGATCAACACTTGACCTTGTGAATACCATTTACTGTTTCAATTGGAATTTAATTGTGACTTCTAACCTCTTATTTATTTCTTTGGGTGTTTGAAAATGACACCTAGGGAAAGTGTGAAGTGGCATGTATCAAGCACAGACCCAGTCTATAGCACCCACAATGATAATTGAAGATTAAACAATTATGAAAAAAGCTTGGTACTTTCCCTGTATTTATGTTAGTAAATGTTTTGGTTTTTTGAAGAGCTAGATTCCCCTGGTTCCCCTCAACCTTAGTTGAGTTTGGTTATTTATTTTGTATATATTTTTTGTGGTTCTGGCCTTTTTCTCCAGCGGCAAACAATCTCCTCTCTTTTGTTTTTCAGCAATCTCAGCTTTTTGGATTCTGAAACTCATTGTTTTCTTTTTCGCTGTCATTATTTAATTTTTTGATGCAGCGGACCTACATCCTATAGAGAGGTGTATGTTTTTTGTATTGTGTTTGCCATTAGAATACAGTTGACATGTTTTGTCTTGCGTTTTGGTAATAAACCTTTCATGAAAGAAATGGTCCATGATGTCCTGGATATGTTTGAGAATGTGTAGGCCTATGGTGGATTTCAGAATATTGGAACTGCTAAATCAGTAAAGTGATGACAACTATTCAGATTCAGATTACCACTATTCAGATGAAGTTTGACTTCAGTGAGACTATTAATAAAATACAACTGTCCAGTTACTGTTGGTAATTCACCATGTGATATAAAGTCCCCCACTAGATGGAGGCAAAACACTTCAAATCACCACTCAGCATGACCTGTTACAGAAATGGAAGACTTGCAATGTTTTGAACAGTTGACTTCCTTTTTTAAGAAATTGAATTAAATTGTTAGAATTGTTTTTTGCACAGATTTTATTTATCAGGGCTTCTATTCACATTCAAGACAATTCATTAAAATGTTATTTGTCTACTGACTGAGGGCACTATTCAATCCGCATCCCGTAAATTCAGTTTTACAGCGTGATTGAAATTTAAAGGCAATGTTTCCACTTTAAAAGAGACTGCATTCACGGTAAATGATGCATGTGTCGGCTGAATCGGAAATCCCCTTTACATTTCTATCTCGGAATCTGTAACGCTTCAGTTTTACAGATTGGATCGAGCCCGAACGCCACTCTTTTCTTCTTTATCTGCTACCCAGAATATTTCACAGGGCCATAAAAATAATTAGTGTGTAAAAAATATGCAAAGTATTTGTCACACAGCCTGAAATCTAGAACCTATTTTGCTAATATTCCGCTCCTTGTACTCCGTGTCATTGCCAAACATGTTTAGCAGGGCAAGGAGTGGAATGATCGCTAAACAGACTGGTACAGGCTATTTGTCACAAAGGAATCCTACTCACTGCTCCTCTTGATTTATGTTGATTTACAGTGCCTTCAGAAAATGTTCATACCCCTTGATTTATTCCACATTTTGTTGTGTTACAGCCTGAATTCAAAATGGATTAAATATATTTTTTTACTCACCCATCTACACACAATACCCCATAATGACAAAGTGAAAACATGTTTTTAGAAATGTTATTGAAAACAGACACAACTGAATCTATACTTTGTAGAAGCACTTTTGGCAGCAATTACAGCTGTGAGTCTTTCAGGGTAAGTCTCTAAGAGCTTTCCACACCTAGATTGTGCAACATTTGCCCATTATTATTACAATTATTCAAGCTCTGTCAAATTGGTTGTTGATCATTGCTAGACAACCATTTTCAGGTATTGCCATAGATTTTCAAGGACATTTAATCTTTTTTTTTTTTTTCTTACAGAGGAATAACTTTTTGAGGCTATTATATCCTTTCAGTCTCAGTCTGGAAAACCCCCAGAGCTTGATGGCATACCGGTAGAGGTATATCAAGCTTTTTTTTTTATATACTCAATGCTCTATTATTAGCTTCAAAATATTCAAAATAAAAGTTAACTGTAACTCGGCCACTCAGGAACATTCACTGTCTTCTTGGTAAGCAATTCCAGTGTAGATTTGGCCTTGTGTTTTAGGTCGTTGTCCTGCTGAAAGGTGAATTAATCTCCCAGTGTCTGGTGGAAAGCAGACTGAACCAGGTTTTCTTCTAGGATTTTGCCTGTGCTTAGCTCTATTCCATTTCTTTTTTGTCCTGAGTAACTCCTCAGTCCTTAACGATTACAAGCATACCCATAACATGATGCAGCCGCCACTATACTTGAAAATATGGACAGTGGTACTCAGTAATGTGTTGTATTGGATTTGCCCCAAACATAACTGTTTGTATTCAGGACAAAAAGTGAATTGCTTTGCCATATTTGTTTGCAGTATTACTTTAGTGCCTTGTTGCAAACAGGATGCATGTTTTGGAATATTTGTATTCTGTGCAGGCTTCCTTCTTTTCACTCTGTCAATTATTAGTATTGTGGAGTAACTATAATGTTGTTGATCCATTCTCAGTTTTCTCCTATCACAGCCATTAAACTCTGTAACAGTTTTAAAGTCCCATAGGCCTTGGTGAAATCCCTAAACGATTTCCTTCCTCTCCGGCAACTGAGTTAGGAAGGACACCTGTATCTTTGTAGTGACTGGGTATATTTATACACCATCCAAAGTGTAATTAATAACTTCACCATACTCAAAGGGATATTCAATGTCTGCTTTTTTATTTTTACCCATAAACCAATAGGTGCCCTTCTTTGCGAGGCATTGGAAAACCTCCCTGGTCTTTGTGGTTGAATCTGTGTTTGAAATTCACTGCTCGACTGAGGAACCTTACAGATAATTGTATGTGTGGGGTACAGAGATGAGGTAGTCATTCCAAAATCATGTTAAACACTATTGCACACAGAGTAAGTCCATGCAACTTATGTGACTTGTTAAGCAAATGTTTACTCCGGAACTTATTTAGGCTTCCCATAACAAAGGGGTTGAATACTTATTGCTCAAGACATTTCAGCTTTTCATTTTTAATTAATTTGTAAAATAATTGAAAAACAAAATTCCACTTTGACATTATGGGGTATTGTGTGTAGGCCAGTGACAAAAAATCTCAATTTAATCAATTTTAAATTCAGGCTGTAACACAGCTAAATGTGGAAAAGGTCAAGGTATGCAAATACTTTCTGTCTGTTACATAAATAGTAAGTAAAAGTGTATTTATTTAGATATGGGCACAGCTTATCAGACAACAACCTCTGTCACATTTAGAAGGCAGACAGCAATTTAAATCAAACAACTATTGCACACTTAAACCTCTAGGGGACCCACACCGCCCTCTTTTTCTGTCAGGCTACTCTACAAATCAC